CCCCCCCCCCCCCCCCCCCCCCCCCCCCCCCCCCCCCCCCCCCCCCCCCCCTTCAGAAAGCTTTTACTTTCAAGAGGGTTGGAAATCTGTAGTTATGCATCTAAGATACTGAATTCAGAAAAGAACTTCAAACGTATCTATACAATAATTGAAAAGGCATTTTTCACCATTGTAAACTTTTGGTTCTTGAAAAGTAAGCGGTCTTTAAAAAACAGAACTTGATACTACCACTAAAAAATAATTATTACTTGTCTGCGCTAATCAGTAACAGGTGAAATAATAGGGAGAGAGGATCACTAATAATTATTGTTTACCTGAAATAGAATGTCTCATTTTATTCCTCCAATCCTTTGAATAAATGGATGAATCGATGCTTGATAACGGAACAAACTGTAATCTCGATAAAATCGAATTAGCGTTGTTGACGTTTAACGAATAATTATTGACTGAAATATCGTCGATTTGGCTAGTTTGATGTCCGTCAGAATAAATGTGATTATTCATTTGACTTGCTAATTTTGCTAATTTACTTAATCATCCATGGCTTTTAACGATATATCAGATACATTACTTCAGCGATCAACACTGTTTTCTGAAACAAGAAAAATAATACATTGAAAAAAGTCTGTCACAATTCAATGGTGTAAAAGTGTGTGAAATACTACTACTATTCTTACTACAATATAGATACGTATTTACTATAGGTAACCATTTTAAGTAGAGAAAGATGTTTGTAAGTTGAACAATACGCCATGCCCATAGATAAGTCTTTCAAGTGAAAAACAACTTTTTAAAAAGAGTGAAATACAATGAAAAAGCATTTTAAGAAGTGCAATGAATAAATTATGAGACTACAAAAGAAAGATAAGGTGAGGAGCTACGTTAGCCATGCAGGCATTTCATCGGAATTTGTCTCGAGACGACACGCACTTGCTCAATGGTATAACTAGGAGTTTTGGGCTTTTTTTTTTGGCCAACTCCATTAGTTCCAAAAAAAACGCCTGGGCCACACTAGGGTAATTCATTCAAAAAAACGTTTTTTCAAATTTCCAGCTAAGGAAATCACAAAGTTCAAAATCTTATTGGATCAAGGCTCAAATCGCATTGGGCTATGGTCCAATGGCCCTTCCATAGTTACGCCACTGCACTTGCTTTAACAGACAAGACTAATACAATAAGTTTGATAAAGGCGTTCTAAAAAAGAATTTGAATGTTTTACAGGTGATACCATCCAACATAAAAATGTTAGAATAGCAAATGCAAACTCGTTTAATTCATTATGCAACGATACTGTTTCAACCGATCATAATCCATCAAGTAATAAAAATAAACATTTAACGATTACATCTGAATGCTATAATGGCTATCATCTTCATCCTTCGGCTAACAGTATAACAACAACAACAACAAGTACATATGTAAATACTCGACTGATACCTTCTAGTGGTTCAACACATTATTCACAAATGCCTGTAGTATCAACGAAAAAAGAATTATTTTTTCCTCCTTCCTCTTTTTCTCTTTCTCAGCTGCCTAATCAGACAACACAAACAATAATAGCAACATCATCATCATATCCTCTAAATGTAAATGATACAAGTTCAATACCACCTTCGTTGTCATCGTCTACAAAACAACGAAATATCGAAGGCCATGTTTTACCCTATTCTATAGGTAAACAAGGACTTAAACGTTCGACATCAGATTCAAACAATATTCAACCAGTACTAAAACAAGTGCAAAACAAACGAGTAAAAACACTTGACAATTTAGTTTTGAGTTTTCCAACAAAATCCAGTCACGAATCAATTCAAATTATCCACGAAAATCATTCATTTCCCGTCGACGATATTTCTCATATCAAACTAACACAATCTTGTCATAATAACCGTAGTGATGATGAGGATGATAACGATGATAAGAACAATGATGATCCGGTAAATAGAACAGCTCGTACCAAACTAACTTTACCGAACGAGTTACTGAAAAAATCTCATACACGTAAACGTCATCGTAGTCCATCCTTTAGTGAAGGGTTTACATTACCTACATATCCTCCGATAACTGTAACGATTGCATCTACTAACGAAATAGAAACGTCAGGTTTATGTCAAAATTTGTTGACAGTACCGTCGCACATTTGTGATGAACAATGTACGATGTTAAACGATGATAATGCCGATATAGACGATATCCAAATTGATACAAGAAGTTCATATCCACACTATTTTGTATCTTATTTCATGGATCTTCTCAAGCCAAGTGATAATAAGTTGGCCATGAAATTATTTGGATCTAAAAAAGGTGTTTTAAAAGAACGTTTGAGACAACAAAGAGCGGGACATTGTATTATTCATCCATGCAGTAATTTTCGGTATGTATTAATTTGTATGTATTAACTGTGTAGTGTAAGCAGAAAGTCCATTATATTTTTTTGACTAACAAAAGGCGAGTAATGTTAAATTTTTTGAAAAAAGAGAGTTATTCCACAACTTTTCTGCTATTTTATTTAGAAACAGCTAATCGCACGTTTATCAGTCTGATTTTTCGAAGCTACATTCTTTATTTATCAAAAAATCTGCTTTTCATGAAATAGCACGAACATTTATAAGCAAGTAAAAATATCAGAAATGAGAACTTTTTTGCCTATTAAAGTTTTCTAGCTATCAAATTTACAGTGTTCTCTACATTCGATTACTCCTGAAAACAACTTTTTTTTTTGTTGAGAATTTTACAGAATTCAATTGAATTCTATTCAATAAAATCTTTCATAAAAAATTGTTTTGTTATATGGATAGTTACAGATGTACTTTTGGCGTTGAAAAATGGAAATATTAGCATACGATGATAAGGAAGGAATGAGATATAGTCATTGTCAAAAAAGAAATGGTTCATTTTAATTATTATATCCTTGTACGGAGAAGAAATCATAGATATCACTGTTTATCATCCAAAAATGTCTATAGCTTTATGTCAATGAATGGTACACAGACGACAAAAATAAACGATTGATGAAGATATTTTCTATTTGTGTCACATCTGTAATGATCTGTTTATATTTTAACGACAACAACATATATTATATCATCATTATCATAAAGAATATTTTATTATCCTTTCGTCTTGCATAAAAAAACCTTAAATTACTTCCATATGAGTTATGATTAAGCTAATAAAGGTGAATGGAAAAACGATAATGGATTCCTAAAACCTAGAATATTTATCTTCTTAAACACTTATGTATAACCCTGTCAAAAAAAATGATTGAAAGAGTATAAAGTCTGGATGAGATTACTGAAAGTAGAGTAGATATATAAAATTGATTATATAATTACTCAAACTTTAAGCAATGTGGAAGTTGAATGTTCAAATAATGTTCAAAAGGTTCCGTTTTATGGGTTAGAACATACAATATTCACAACGAAGCAATATAATATCTAAACAAGATGAAAGAAAGTTTCATTCTTAGATGTTTTGCACCTGTTTCTCTCATTGTTTCCTTTTATTTATTTTAGTTTTTATTGGGATTTGGTAATGTTAGTATTACTGATAACAAATGTGATCGTTCTTCCGGTGGCTATATCATTTTTTAGCGATGAAATTAATTCACCAAAATGGATTGTATTTAATCTTATTTCTGATATGCTTTTTTTATTTGATATTGTTGTCAATTTTAGAACCGGTACGTTTACTTTCAATAATCATTAATTTAAAAATGGTACATATTCTTCCTTTTTGTAGTATTTATAAGGTGAGAGCATTAATACGGCATCGAAGATCAATCTTTTTTGTTTTATTGAAAATCAATAGAAACTTTTTTTTTGTGAAAACTTCCAAGAACACGTCCGTTCTTCAAAGGAAATAGAAGTTTGAAGTTTATTTTTATAGAGAGAATCCTAGGGAAAAATGGACCTCGGAAAATGTTGGGATTTACATAACTGAAATATGGAGTTTACATAGACTTAAATTGGGGCTCTGGGGTTTACATAGACGTAATTAGTTGTTAAGAATAGGCAAGAATGTTGATAGGCGAGGCTGTAGAAATATAGTCGCGTCAGTGTTTTTGCCACCTGTTTTTATAAAGGTTACGGAAGTTCTCACACTTTTTGCTCCACAGAAGCAACGCTGACAAGCTTTCTTTCGTTACTCCATATGCTGACTACTGCCTAAATACGATGAAACTTTAGGTGAATTAGTCTAAAAGTGGTCACAAATTGGAACGAGCAAAGTTACGTTGGTCTCATATATATTGCGTTTTCAAAAAGCGACAATAGTAAGTAAAAATATGTATAATAAGAATTACTGGCTATATAATTATTGATAGCACAGCTATATCAACAGAGAATTTAGTCTTCGTCACTACTATCTGTGGCATCTTTTATAACGCCTATATATCGATAAGAAAGAGCTCTTAAAACTTTTTGATAATTATTGAAGTCTTTATCTTGGATATATTTTGTTTTTGCTAATTTAAGTTTGTAATCATCACGTATTTTTTTTTCTTGATCTTGTTGTATGTTTTTGAATTTGTTCTTGTTCATAACGATTCAAAACAGATTTTTCAAATGAACAAACTTCATTAATCCATGTTTAGAGTTCCGGATTCATTTGCACACGCATCATTTTGAAACGATCCCATTCTGATTTTCACGTTTTAACCGATATAAATAATTATTATACAAAATTACTTTTTCATCTTTTTGAAATTTTGATTAGGTTGTTTTGTATCCATAGTTTTAAATAAAGTGTAACTTTCATCCCCATGCTTCTATATTTATATTATCAATAAGACAGAACTCATGATCAAATTTCTGCAACGACTAATAAAATAATGCTATAAAATATTCTTTTGTGAAAAATATTCATTAGCATATGTTTTACTGATTATTAATCAAAATTAATCATTTTGCTCTGGGAGTTGGTTCTTATTCTGACGTTCGTCCATAAATATAGATATTAGTTTTTTTAGTATAGCTGCGTATTACTCATAAATATATAGTCACCAATTCTTATTATATATGTTTCCCCTAAGTACCCTATAGAAAACAACCAATTTCTGTATATATATTTCAAATTACAATTGTTGATTAATCATTAATTAAAACATAATCGCTTTTTGGAAACGCAATAAAAATGAAACTAATGTAACTTTACTCGTTCCGTTTCGTTCGTTTGACTACTTTTATACTAATTGACTTAAATTTTGATCGTATTTAGGAAGCTATGAATATGTTATCATTCCACTCATAATTAAAACAATATTAAATTTAATTTACTAATATTTTTATATGATTCCATAAAGAGTACGAAAAGAATTCTGCAGATCAAACCCTTTTTCCAAATTATTTTTTATCACATTGCTTCTATTCACTAATGATAATTTTCTTTATTTTCTCTAAGGTATACTTCAAAATGATTTTGTGGATGAAATTATCTTAGAGCCTCGATTAATCGCCAAACATTATGCTAAAACGTGGTTTGCTATTGATTTACTCTCATCGTTACCTGTCGACTATATCTTTTTGTTTATTGAAACCGGTGATGGATCCTATCAATTAGCGAGAACAGGACGAGCAATCAAGGTGCTAAGATTAGTCAAATTATTGAGTCTACTCAGATTGTTAAGATTATCCAGATTAGTCAGATATATTCATCAATGGGAAGAAGTAAGTACATTTATGAAAAATTGACATAGCATAATATATAGTATCACACATTGAGACTTCATTGTTGTAAATATATAAGTGTAAAAAAAATGAAAGAAATGGTCTTACTTCAGATTACTATTGACTATTGACCTGCTTATTCCACAGAAAGAAATTTAGGCTAAAATGAAAATGATTTTATTTAATAAGAACAAAATATATTTTATTATTTTAGTTTTTAAGTATAGCCAGTATGGTAATGCGTATATTAAATTTAATTGCGTTGATTATTCTATTAGCCCATTGGAATGGATGTCTTCAATTCATGATTCCTATGTTACAGAGTTTTCCCACTGACTGTTGGATATCGTTAAACGGTTTACAAGATTCACCGTGGACAGAACAGTATACTGTAGCGTTATTTAAAGCTCTATCGCATATGTTGTGTATCGGCTATGGAAGATATCCACCCCAAAATTATGTTGATATGTGGTTAACAATGTTAAGTATGGGTAAGTTCAATGAGTTGTATTCATATCCTAGTGAGGTCGTCACATCACGATATTATTTTCTTTTCTTCAATCTATACAATTTCAGGCCGGATCTGGTGAATGTACCAGAATGCGAATATGACTCATTAATCTTAATTAAAAGAGATATCAATATGGATTTTTATCTTCTAGTGACTGGTGCTATGTGTTATGCAGTTACCATCGGGCATGTATCAGCTCTTGTACAAAGTTTTGATACATCGAGAAGACACTATAATGAAAAAGTAAGAATAATAAGAAATTAAATTTTTGTAGTTTGAAAGATTTTTTATTTCTAGTATAAACAAGTTGAAGAGTACATGGCATGGCGTAAATTGCCACGTGAGATGCGTAATCGTATATCTGACTATTATGAACATCGTTATCAAGGAAAAATATTTGATGAAGAGTCCATTCTAGTCGAATTATCAGAAAGACTGAGACTGGTAAGTATGTACGTGATTTTATTCTCTTAAGAGATGATTTAGCATTATTTTTCCATTGGAGGATGTTGTCAATTACAATTGTCGTTCATTGGTATCTTCTGTACCATTTTTTGCCACCGCCGATCCTCATTTTGTATCAGATGTAGTTACTAAACTTCGTTTCGAAGTTTATCAACCCGGTGATTTGATTATAGTGGAAGGAACCATCGGAGACAAAATGTATTTTATTCAAGAGGGTATAGTCGACATTATTAAATCAGATGGCGAAGTACTCACAACACTCTCCGATGGATCGTATTTTGGCGGTAAGAGACAGAGTAATGATAATATTAGCTTTTCATTCAAGTCGATCTTTTTGTTTAGAGATTTGTTTATTAACTCGAGCAAAACGTGTTGCAAGTGTACGTTGTGTAAGTTATTGCAATTTATATTCATTGCATGCCGATCAATTCAATGCTGTATTAGAACTGTATCCGTTAATGCGTCGTACAATGGAATCTGTGGCTGCTGAACGTTTGAATAAACTTGGGAAAAATCCCTCAATGATATCAAGTAGACACGATTTGAAACGAGACGCCGAGGCGATTAAAGATATTATTTCAAAAGCAACGCCAAATCCATCCGAATCATCGGAATCAGACGATTCCAATAACACTCACGATCATCATTATCATCGCAGTAGCCATACATTGTCAATGTATCACTTCATTAACGATCGTCGTCATTCGCACGACTCAAGGAAAATTTCTAACAATAAAAAACAGCATCGAAGTGTTCTGTTTTTACCCACACAAAAAACCATGAAAAAATCACCGTCTACACCGTGGGGTCTTTTCAGTAAAGGTATACATCCGGAATCAATGACTACTACCACCCCACGTGAAGCCGGTTTTTGAGAAAGTTTTTTGTTTTGTTGTACTGTACTAAACAATTGTAGATTGAAATATTTTACGAACTGGTGTAGTAAAGTACCGATGTGCTGCTCTCAAGGGTTTTTCATGAAATATCTTTGCAAAATTACAATGATTAACAAAAATGGCTGAAAAGGGTATTACAGAAGGTCATCATAAAAGACCCAAACAATAGAAAATTGTGTTATCCAATAAAAAATCTGTCAGATTTTTCTCATATCATATATGTTCTACATCAATTCATAATAGAGGTATAAGCTTTGTTGCTTCAATTTGATATTTTCCAGTGAAGTCTGCGTATTGTTGTATATCCAGAGTAGTGATGAACCGCTAATTGCAAGTCATGTCAATACGAAATATGACTGCAAGATTCAACATCAGTTCCGGATGAGTACAGATTTTTGAACCGATTTTTAGCTAATGCATTTTTATGTAGTTTGATGGTATGTTTACCTATTATATATTGTTCCTTTACCTATACATACCAAAAGAGTGAAACAAAACTATGTAGATTTCGTTACGTATGTGACCGATAAGATATCTTTAAAGCATTTTTTTTCTTATCCTTCAATAAAATATATAAAAGTTAAAAGTTATTGACAAATGCTGCTAAAAACTCAGTCGCAGGTGATATTAACCATTTATCATCACGTACTTTTGTCAGCGTTTTTTTTGCGTACACGAGTTGGAAGAGATAAAGAGCATATGTTCCATTGAAAGTTGATAATGCTGCACGAATTACTGAAGTTATTTCATTAGTGAACTGTATTTATGTTCGTCATTTAATAAGATTCTAAAATCCCTATAAGCTATTGTGTGCTCGATTGATGTCTGATGTTTATCATGCATGCGACAGTGTGCTTTATGTTATTTAGACCTTTTGTGTGTTATTGTCAAAGTTACTAATGTATCATTGATTGTTCTGTCAACAATTTGTTTCATTTACAGAGGTAGTCTTTTGAACGTGTTAACGGATTCAGTTTAATACAACTTTTGGTTTAACGGTATAGATAGTCGAAATGAAACGGTTTTATAAGGTGTGTTGAACTAACTGAAACTAGCCACATCAAACCAGGGACCTGAGTAGATGCCGGACATTGGGGGGGTGTAACGGCCACTTGCCGTTACATATTTTATTTTCTGTCGCTTGAAAAGTTTCAGAAACTTCTTCTATGCGCTCTTTATATAGAAAGAATGAAATCAGTTAATAATTGATTTTTATTATTATTTTGTTTCATAGTGACGCGAAATGTGGAGACACATTATCTTCGTGTCGAGAATTCATTAAAAATATCAGTTTTTCTTCTTCTTCAAAAATTCTAAACTTAAATTCTAAACCTCTTCTACTTCTTCTTCTCTCCCTTTAAGAGAAGAGGAATCATCATCATCATCAGTCGTCTTCTTCGTTTATCATACAAAGGAAGAAGAAAATTCTACTGCTAT